CACGTCTGGGCTAGAATCAGAGAAGTTAGAGAGCCTATATTTCAGGATTCTTCAGTCTCCAAGCTTAGTTATTTATTTGACAATTTTCACCAACTGACTCTTTTTCAAATTAGGCCATTAATTTCCTGACCTAAAGTGGTTTCGATTAAAGTGGAGGCTAAATTCGAGAATATGGTTGCCTAGAGTCCTAGACACACACACATACACACACACCACGAAGCTCCAGTACGGACCGCTTGTTGTGACCTCAAATGCATTCTGTCCTTCTCTTAGGTTAGAAAAATTGGTCACCCTTGTCCTTACGCGACTTCTTCCATCCTCTGCAAACTACAATCTACTCTTCACTTACACACTGTAAACTGACACACCTCAACTAATCTCCCAGTAATGCCCTGATATCGTGTATCACTTATAAGTTATCCTTAATCCTTTTATAACGCCCTCTTGATTTCAATTTAATGAAAAGCAATGAGTTCACATCACTATCTAATCATGATCACTATAATGGTCTAATTCATTTTAATGATTTCAACACGGCTTGACAGATCAGCGAAAAATATGTCTACTACTATTCAAATAGTCAGATTTCTAATCAGGAAAACTAATGTTTTCATTTCAAAAGGAGCTATTTCCTCGATTCGCGTGCGTTGGCATGGCTATAATAATTAAAGCCTGGCAAAATTTTTCTTTCTCCCAAAACGAACTATCTCTACTCACTCTTTTTTTTAAATTTCTATTGTAAAGTGGCTTGCAGTTTAGTTCAAAGTGAAAACCCAATACAAATGACTCATCACTTATACACTGAGAGAGTTAGTTTGCTTTCTGTTACCCCACTATTCGTCAGACTAATAAATACACCTGCCTACATAATTTCTTTAAGAGGAAAATGGAATTCAAATTTTAGACCTCTTAATGTATCAGTAATAGTCATTTAAGAAACTAGCTGGGTAATCCGACAAAAATACAACCAGCAAAACGAAAATTCCGATATCAAAACAATCGTGAAATGTATTGGGAGTGCACTTCCTTTAAGTAGTTCACTTTGATGTTAAGTATGTATCCAAATATGGAAAAGGATGCTCAATTTTTACCAAAGAACATTTAAAATAGGTCCTTTTGTCAAATAACTATATAACGGCAATTAAATGAAAAAGCATAGACTTGAAGGTTAACATTCAAATAGAGATGCTAACTCTCATTTTCAATAGATGACCTATTGAGAAGAGCTTTCATAGACTCTAGCAGATTTCTGTCGCATAGGGTAAGATTTTGTGTGCTCGAATAGACATCAGTACTTAGTTAAGTGAATTTCACATGATCCTTAATTAGGCTAATTATGCCAATTCACGTTTTAAAGCAGGCGTAAATAATAACATTCATCAAAATTGGTCCTCATGAGAATTTTGTAAAGTCTGAATGATCGGTTTCAAGTTGAGCAATGCCTTCATGGTACTTACGACCAATGAACCTTTTAAATCCTCCAGTGCCATCAAGCTCTTCCAGTTATTTATTTATTTCAATTGGCGGGCGTTTTGATAGTTATCGTTGGCCATTTAGTTGACTTCAGGCTTAACAGAGAGGAATGAACATCAAAGTGAAAAATAGTCGAGAGGGGGGGGGGAGGAACAGAAGAGTGTTTCAAAGATGTAAAAGAGACAGAAATAAAGGTAGCAAAAAGGTGAGATGAGTGGAGTGGAAGTAATCGAATATGATATACAGTGGGGTCATGATAGTTTAAAGTGAGAAGTCAACTGCCGAACAATAGACTTTTTGCCTTATGAGTATACATTGCCAAGGTGCACCACGTGGAGGTAAGTCTATCGTACACCCCTCTCTCCCAGTTATTTATATCCTCCAGCAATGTACTATGGCTCTTCCAACCGTTTACTACTATCCTACAACTGACATTCTGGAGAAAGAGGAGTCCCCATTTCATCACTATAAAATGAGTACCGTTTAGACATCTTTCTTACACTTCTGTTAATGAAAATAATGCTTGTTGCAACCTCTTTACTGTTGGTGTGGTGAATATTCGTGAAAATTTAAGGCAAACAGTTTACAGAACCGTTAGGGGCTGATACTAGTGACCTCCACCAATTTATGATGAAAATTTTAGCATTAAGCAGTAGCCATTGAATTAACATTTCATAAATCCAAATCGAAGTAATATTAGCTGTAAGTCTTTTACAAATAATATATTTATTTGCAGATATTTACGTTTTAAGCATCAGTTGAAAAAGAATCAAAAGAGCCCCCCCCCCAATTTATGGCCATTACTAGGCCAATCGGATAAGCCAAGTTCATGGCATAAACACTCATGAAAGGCTGTGTTCATAAAAAATGTATAAAACTAGATCAAATAACAACTTGTTTACATGGAAAAAATCCCCCCTCCATTTATGTACTTAAACCTCACATTCAGTCAATTTACACGCATAGTTATGGCAATATGTAAACCAGGAACGCAAATGAAATAAATGACAAGGTGATAAGATAAATACTACACAAATCCCACTTAACTAGGCAAGCAAAAAACTGTTTAAACTAACTTCCTGCGGATTTTAAATAAGTGTTTGGAAAGAAGGCGAAAGTTTAGGAATTTTACAAATAGGAGAAATTATGTACATAAACCCCCCGCGAATACAACCCCATTCCGTAAGAAATTGACATAAGAATTAATCATTGCAGCCTAGCAAACCCCTCTGTCAAGCTGGTAGGTCCAATGGCAAATATGAAAAAAATTGTGAATGTAAAATTGAATGAAACCATATAAAAAATTTATTCACCTTTTTGAAGATGCCAAAAAAAGATGATGGTCAGTCGCCGAATCGAGAGAAAAGAAAATACTATTCACCGGTTGATCTCGAAACTCAAATGAAGCGTAGGGTTCCCCTAACTGCCACCCGCCCCCCCCCCTCCCCCTCCCCGCGATTCCCAAAGAAATGTGACTATGTACTTATGCATTCCTACAAGAAACAAAGTGGTGAAACATTTAGCAAAACCATTAAAAATAAATTAACTTAAAGTATTCAATAGCAAACCGAAAGAGTTAATTGAACAGTACTAGCTATCACGTGTTCATACATCTCAAATTTACCAATTTTTTCTTCACCTGACAGCATAAAAATGTAAATCTAAGCAACGCCCAAAAATGCACATTTGTTGTGGTTTTTGGAATGCTGAAGATGTATTCGCATGTGACGTCTTGCAAAAGTATGCCACCATCTGAATAGAGAGAAGTGCGGTTCTTGAGCTTGTGACATCTCGCTCATAAGATAGCACAACGGTGCTCATTTTCGATCATAAGTAAAAAAATCACACCGATTCTCGAATTTAGTACCAATTTCCACAGCCAGGTTTTCCGATAGCAAATTTACGTTAAAAAAGAAAAAGATGGAATAACGTTTAATGATAATGGAAACAACAAAATATCACAAAAACAATTCTTCATCTTATATTAAAATATGTATACACATTTCAATAATAAGTACTCTAGAAATGATAAAGAGATACGAGAGTTTGTAAAAAAGATATATGAAAAATGATACTATCCGTTTAAGGGCCAATATTCAAGTAACTATGTAGGAAGTTCACTAGAAGCTCTATTGAGTTTTTTTTATGATTTTCCTGATTTTGTAATTTTCTTCAATGTTGTCTATGGTTTCACGAAACATTGTATTCAACCAGCAACATTTGGATGGGTCTGAGAACTTGTCCATATGCTTGTAAGAAATCATGCATCGCTAGTATAACCTAAAGGAAAGCATTTATCTTTAAAAATGGCAAGCAAACCTAAATTTTATAAGTTTTAAATGGAAAATGGGTGTGTGTGTGTGTGTGCGATCTCCATAAACACAACAACAACAACGCGCAATTTCAGTTAAGTATTAAAGTTATAGTAAAAAAAGAAACAATACGAGTCGAAGAAAAGCTGAATATATCCTGGGGCTAACGTAACCGCTTGAGTGCAGTTGTTCGAGTGTCCACACAGTGACAAAATTAGGCAATTTCGAGTAAACAATGATAAAGTGAAAGAACCTAGTGGAAACCATAGCCACTATGAGCCAAACTGAAAGATCAGCTATGATTTTGCTCCAATACCTAAGGCTGAGATCCTTCGATATAAAAGGGAGTTGGCGAATATAACTCTTACAAACAAGTAGACCATCTAAAGCAGGTAAGGTAATAATTCCACTTTTTTACCAATATAGAAAAAAAATCGCCATCATGACAGTAGCAATGACTATGAAATGAGATCATAGTCATAAAGTTAAAAAAATCCTAGCTCTCTTATTAAATTGGCAATATCTCTTTGTTCCCTAACTGAAGTACTTAAAATAAATAGGAAGGGATAATTTAAAGAAAATCAGAACGAAAAACATAGTAACGAATGAAGATAAGAAAATAAAATAGATACCCATGGCACAATAAATGTTAAATCCAAAAGTCCCACGATAATAACCATCAAATCGTTCATGCCTACTATATTCATCAACGTTTTATAAAATGACCGTTTAATTAAAAGTAAATTGATATCAAAAAGTAGTTATAATCTCGAAGGAAATAGAGAAGGCTTGTGTCATTCTATTGACAATTGGTAACCTGTCAGTTAATTACTCTTAAAATAGAAGATGTTTTACGTCTGGAAAAGCACACAAAAATGTGAATATAAGAAATTTTTAAGCATAATGAAAATAAATGGACTGCATGATAACTCCCGATTTCAATTCTAAAACTTAGCCTTCAGGTAAATTAGGTAAAAATTAAATAAAGAAAGTCTATACAGACTCAACTATCTTAATTTGAAAAGGCGATCATAAGTCATAAAAGTAAATAAAGAGATAATATAAAATTGCAAAAGATTAAACCCTCTAAAATGGAGAAGAAAATAGATAAAAATAACTAAAGTACACTTTTCCTCTCCTTTTAAAACGAACGACCGAAATATGTGAGGGCATCTTTTAAACATTAATATAAAGAAAAAATGCATTTTAAGCATTCTAAAAGTTGTTCAATTCAGCAACATAAACATAAAAACCAATTACCTTTTCATTCATGTTTGGCTTGTTATAGGCTAAATTTAGCAGGAAAGTGTTGGTATCGGGGAAAATTCTTAATCCGCCCTAAAAAACAAAATATTCTTCCAAACATATCTGCATAGAAAACAGGAAAAAAAAAACAAATGTTTATCGAAAAATGTCATAAAGGAGGTTGTATAGAAAAAACTCACGGAAAAAAGTAAAGCCATGACTCTGCTATGATAAGGTTTCAAAGTGCGTTCGTAAGCAATCCTAACAAGATTCGACATTTTTTCATCTGGGCACTTCAGGAACTCAACCATTGATTCCAATATTAAATCAACTGTCCGAGATAGCCACAAAATGCCAACAGAGCCGGAACTATCCCTTTTGGCGATACCTGTCTCCTGTTCCTTGGCAAGCATTTCATCAATCGTACAAACATTTAAACGTTCACATGCATTTCTAACTTTCTATACGGAAAAAGCAAAGTAAATGAGCTTATAATTATCAAATCGAATAGTTAAAAAGACCTATTGAACGCAGTAGCTTACATGCATGTTGCCGCTGACATCACTTTTAACAGGAAAAAGTGCAGCGCCTTGCATATCTATATATTCACATTAGCAACTAAATAAGAACATACCGCAAAATACAATAATATTGTGCATGAAATCCAGCAAATTATTTACATCTAGAATATCAATTCCATTGGGTTCTTTGGGAAACCGATCAAAGAACGTAGCACCCTCTTCAGTAGCCATCTCGACCCTCCTGTAAGAGAAAACTAACCCGAACGAAACAACCGAAAAAGCGCCTAGTGTTATAATGTGTAAAACAAATTAAGGTTGCCTAATAAAGTAAATTAATTAGATATAAATCATTTCAAATCTTTAATTTATATTTAATTGTGTTGAATTAAACATGTTTTAATTAATTTGCATCAACTATTTTCTTCAATTAATTTATAGTGTATTTTTATCTAGGCATTATATATGTATTATAACTCTTAAAAACTCCGTTTAGTTTATTTTGTTTTAGTATCGAAAGCATTATTAGACTATCATTGATGTTTCGACATAGGGACCTATTAGTGCCTATTTTTGAGTAAAGGAATTCCTTAAATCAAACTCTAATGAACTAACCATCTTTTCAGTTTTATTAAGAATGAATTTATACCTACTCAGTTAAACAGAGGTTTGATGATTTTAACCTGCATAATTTACTGCGCATTTTGCTCATTTTTGAAAAAGTTCACAAAATTTCTAATATACACAGCATTTGACGAATCTGTGACACACAATGACAGCTTGGCAATAAGTTGAGCCTAACTCACCATTAATCGATCAAAAGTAACCAAGATCGTTTAAAAATGGAAACTTTATGAACTCTAGGAGACCTATTTGCCATTAGTAAAGTGAAAGGAAGAAATTTATATAGTTAAGATCAAGGGACTATAATAGCATGGCATGAAGAAATTGGACTGAGTGAGACATTGTGTTATCGTTTGAGTAACATAAGAATTGATTGAAGTGTCAAAGTAAGCGCAATCGTCAAAGTATTATTTTACCATATGTTGGCAGGTTTCAACAAACTCCGTAGGCATGAAATATATCATAAATTTAGGAGATTAAGACTTCTTATTTAAATTAAGGGAATTTTCTACCGATTACTTTTGATAATATATAAAAGTAGATATTTCCCACTACAACACAAATTAGATCAGAGAACTGGAACTAGGAGGTAGAAGCTTTTTTTCTATTTGGCTTTAATCTGTTTTATTTAAAAGCCACATTTTTCTTCCGTAGGAGTCCCCACAACTGCCTCTTAATTTTGCATTACAATATGGCAATATTAAATAAACAATCTAAATTATATAAAATGACTAACAAAAACATTGACTTTGTTAATTATCCATCATCAAGAATATTTTTACGATCAAATTACTCACTTACTTCCCAGTTTCGTGAAATTTCATTTGCAAACAAGTGCTCTCTTAGAAAAGAAACAAATGAACGTTTTCTCCAACGCGTTATCAGATTCTCGTCTAGCGAAGCAACAACATCAAGAAAGTTATGAGCGCATATATTTTTTAAGAGAAAATTGAGTTTGCTTCACCTAATTTGACCCACTGCAATGAAATTATTCAATAGAGAAGTGAATTAGAGGCAAATTGTGGAACTAATTTTCAACTCCAGTAATTAACGGTTCGGTGTGTTATTAATTAAGATAAACTGAGTTGAGACCAATCTATAAACTCATTAAGAAGCAATGTTTAAATCAGTATCCATTCAAGAAAATTAAAAGACATTGATTTGGGACAGCTATATTTTCTCACAAGTTGTTAATGAATTTAGTAGCAATTTTGGTTCATACTACTAATGCACTATTCACAATGGATGAAGATGACCAGAAACACCGTCCGCATTTAGAGAAATTTAAAATTATTAACACCACTTCTGAATAAAGATGCTTCACGAATATATGGGTCTTCTTCATGCTTCCATTTAACACGAATTGACTACGAAGCATTTATACATAAGCAACAAATTGTTTTATTATTTAATTACTAATAAGCGCATTATCCATGGCAAAGTAAACTAAATTTCATGTCTTGATGTATGCAGCAGTTGAGTTGGAGTTGGACTGTCAAGAAGATGTTGGCAATGACTTCAGGACCTTACGATTTTAACATTATTTGATGTCTTTCTCTTTCCATACAAGAGTCACGGTTAACTGGTTACAATTCCATTATTCAAATTTCATGTTTAATATGTTCAATGCCTTGAGGATAGTTGATGTGATTAAGTGATTTGATGTGTCACTTCGATTAATTTGTGGCAAACTGCTTTCAAGAGCAGGGCAAAGAGAGGAATATAAGTGACTCAGCGAGAACACGAATAGCGTTAACTGAGGGTATTGGAAAATTCTTAACGGAAGATTATTTTGCCGTTATAATAATAGCCTTTTTTATGATATCCTAGTTATCTAGTGCGATACTATTAATTCTATTTGCAATCTCTAAGTATTTTATGCCTTACCCTATCGCGGCTTTAAGTGCTTCCACAGTCGAATGAGACAAAGTTGTTGTTCCCTGGCGTAAGCCTCATTCTACCCATTCTCTCCTGTAATTATGTAATCCATTTTTCCCCTAACGCTTCCAATTTGCTCGAGCATGTTTTAGCACCATCCCCACTCAACTGTTTAACTGCGCATAATATTATGCAATTTTATGTGATATTAAAAGTCATATTCCTTTTATAAGAAGATGGGCTGAACGCAATGTAAAAGTACCATAATCCCCATATTACTCTCTTTCATTTTTATATGTTCATTGAAGTTTTATCTACTGACGATTGCGTATGCTTAATAAGTGGTGGTGTACGTGTTGTTTACTAAGGTTCCTTCAAGTTCTCATGGCATATGCATTCGTTTCCAAGTCCAAAGTATTTCGATATATCCAACTTTGTGGAATTGCAAGACACCTACTTTTGTTTACTCAAAAGAGAAGAACAAAAAGAAGTCGCAATATAAGAACCTGCTCTTAAAGTTAGATATAATAAAAGACGTTAGTGTTGTATTTCAGGAAATAGCTGAAACTAAATACATGGCCACCTACGCTTCATTACTTAGCTAACTACACAAATTTGAGAATGTCTCTCAAGGATATAGAAAAATTGCGATAGCCATTAGAACAATAGCCTCTTGGGATGCGTGTTTCATGCCAATCGTTAATGGATGAAGTTGTTTCTGGATTGTTCGCATTTATTATTTATATAGTTTTGAAAAAACAGCAACCAGAGCCACTGGAATTATATTAAATAATGGGACCACTTATTATTACTTAAGTGCTTCTCTCGCGTAATCGATGCCTCTTATTTCAAATTTAACTAAGTTTTAGAGGAAATTCTGTGAGTAAAGTTGTGACAATGTTAATAACGACTGAGTTTTTTTCTGATACTCTGCAGATGCTCGATAGCTATTGATAGTTTGCTACTGACTCAAGGAAATAGTGAGGCGATGAATTATTTTTTCAGGATAGCATGTTTCAATAAGAATATTTACGTAACGTTGATACTTGATGCTTAACTTACTACCGAACAAAAAGGGTCGTATCTGATGAGCTGTCATTACGCTCGGATCATCGGTAACTTTGAGGTATGAATTATTCATCCAAGGCTAAATCCCCCCCCCCCCCCTCCCTCCCTCTGACGAATGCACGTTGATTCTGATAGCCTTTATTTTGAGCCAAAGGTAATGACAACCCTACCCTTTTCGTACCAATCACATTCTTAATAATCTAAGTGGGTCTAGGCTGTTATACTTTATATTTCCATCCTATCAACGACCAAGTCATCAACCATCATAGAAGTTTCACCGTCGTCTAGATCCCACTCCTTACAATCCCATGCGCCTGCGATTGATATATATTCTAGGTAGATGCATCTCTATTTCTACTTGATCAGACTCTATCCTTTTTTATAAATTAATTACGATGAAATTTTTCGAAACCAGATGACAATGAAATATAAAGTTTTCAGGCCAAAATTCAACTCCCTCCCAAATCGAAATAAGCATCTTACAATTAATGCGTGATTTATTTGTTTTGAAATTTCACGATGGTTTAACTTAGTAACTAGGCCTACTAGACATTTCATAAAATTCTTTCTAAAATATTCTTTGATTTCCTATTGGCCGGTGTTTAGTCAATCAATCAGTTCGAGTTCATTTCAAAAATAGAACTAGGCGTTTTTAGTGAAGATCTGTTCATATTTTACATCTTTTACAAGCTTTATTTTAGGATTATTCCCACCGCTTCATTTGCTGGATGATTCCTGGAAATTATTAGGTTGGGAAAATAAAGTTGTTCCGGCAATTTCCTGAGTATTTGAAAATCTACAATGCTTCTCAATCTTCGAGGCATCCTTTGGGGGCTTCTTTTGCTCCGTAGCACACCCCCAACCAGGCGAATTCTCGTGGGCCAAAACAACGACTTTCTTTGAAGCACCTTCCCTTTCCTGAGTGTTGACCTCATTACATTCACCTGGAACTTGCAATCTGCGATAGATACTTTGTTGGAAGAGTTCTGGATTTATTGTCATGTAGTTCTTTTCAACAGTGACGGAGCTATCGTCAGGGATTCGGTAGAGGAGGCTGCTGTAGGCATTCTTGGGATTTTCTGTAGAACTGGAAGAAGTATCGTCGGTGCACATTTGTTGCTGTTGCGATTGCTGTAGTTGTGACTGATGTGGATGGAGATTTTGCTTGAGTGCTATAGTCTCATAGTTCATGAATTTTGGATCTAGGGTTGCCGGGTTGGAAGTGACCATGTATCCAATGGGAACGCCGTCACCTGATGTTGCAATAATTGGTACCTTTCGGCCACCAGGGATTGTTGAGGAGGCCAAAATTACAGTTTGAGGGAAACCACCGTAGACATCACCATCTCTTGGCAACATTTGGAAAGCGCCGTGCACAGGAGTTGCTGGTAAATGATCAAAATTGGTACAAATTTTTGAAGATTTACATGTTGTTATGTATTTATTGGGGCTTGAAAGATTCACAGCGTAATATCTATAGTTTATTATTCTCTATTTCTGGAAGTTATATCAGAGCCACCAGTTACTTAACCTTCCATAAGGAAGGGAAGGAACTGCTAGTTGAACTGAAGGTGCGTAATCCAGATGAGGACTATTTCTACACCTTCATGACTCGATTAATTTCGTTAAAGCTAAACTTAAAAGGTGACTAAGTAAAATTTGCATTTCATATCTTTCTTCAAGAGAGAATGGGGTTTACTGGGTGCTTTTATTCACATTTGACTACACATTTGCAAAAATTGACAAGAGGTGACACTACAATCATTGGAGTTTTAGAACCGTTAGGTGACCTAATAGTAGGATGTAACCATAAAAATTCCACTTCTGTCCTAAATACTTTTGGATATTTATTTAAGTCAATTTTAGAAGCATTATTTACATCTTAGTATTTATAATATTAGCAAGATGATATGAGCAAACATGAGCTGACATAACAGAGCTTTGTATTGAAGTATTTTACGCTACGGTTTCACCATCTACATCCTCAGTTGGCAATCCCTAACACAGACACTAAATGCTTAATCAAGTTGCGTCTACTGTAACTTTAAATTTTTGAACAGATTTAACAAGTAAATCTCATATTTTCTGCTAATAGCACAGGAGTTTCACACATAAGCAGTAAATTTTAAAATGCTTATAAAAGCAACAACTGGGCTATTTTTGGAAATATTTCCAATACAAACCATAGAACACATAGAACATAGATTTTTTCCGAGCAGGAAAACACGAAAACATAGACTAAGCTGAAGCAAAAACTTTCACTTTCCTTCTTGGATCAGTGTTGAGGTGAAGAAAGAGAGGGAGAGAGAAATGTGTCTACTGGTGAAAAATTTAATAGGTGGTAGTGTTTTAGTGAGTGCGTGAGAGAGAGAGAAAGGAGTATAGGTCCACGATCGGGTTATAAACAGTGTGACATCAATGCTTTTTGCCTTAGATCTGTTCTTTTACTCTACAACTACAAGCTTCTTAACACGAAGGCGTGAAGAAAGAATAGGAAGGGTGAAGGCTAACTGATGAAAAGGAGGAAGAATTGTGTGCGTGTTCTAAAAATCGAATGCCTTTCTGCAACTTTGTTGAAACGCTTCTACTGTTTTTTTTTGCATCCTGCATTTCGAGGAGAACATATGAAAATTTAAACTAGTCTCAACAAAATAAATCGGTAAAAAGTACTCTAATCTTCGGATTCAAAGTTATCACCTTCATAGATTGCTCTTTATTGAATGATATGCTTTGGCAAATTAAGAATTGCGGCTTGTTTCGTCATATAGTGAATTCTTATTCATTACTAGTAGGAGAGCATTATATTTTAAAGTGATTGACTTAAAGCGTGGGATTACTACGCGTTGAAGTAAACGTATTAGAACAAGAGTTGGCAGGAACTCCTGAACTGGAAAAGATCATTTACTCATAGCAGCAACTTTCAATTTTTAACATCCGTGTTAGAAACTTTCCTGAGTCCTATAAAAGTGATTGATAAGGAACCTCATTTTGTTAAAGCTACTCCCAACTCTTAAAAGAGGGAAAAAAGTAGCTTTATCATTCTTGTAATAAGTTCGGATTTCATGATAGATTGCATATAGTTCAGACAAATCAATGTTCCTAAGTGGTCCAGAATCTAATTCAATTTGTATATTGTTCAGTTCAATTTCTAAATATAAAGGCACCACCTGCAAACTAACATATGACTACACAGACAACAGCCCCCCCCCCCTTCCATTCAAACACTAATGCATCCTGCCCTTTCAACTTGACCGAACTCTCTCAATGTTGCAACCACCAGCCTTTATTTTGCCTTCGTCTTGCTGGGTAGCAAAAATCTGGTTAACTTGCTCTTTTAATACTACCTTTCAATTCCGAACGGAAAATTCCCTTCCAACACACTTATGAAGTAAAAGGTAGCATTTTGGAGTCTTCTAGGCCTAGCCAGTAAGACTGGTAATTTCACTCATTGGGTAAACATCGATAGGCATGGTGAACGCTACTTTTACAGACAAGCACATTAACGCTGCACTATCACACCAACCTATAACCTTGTAGAATGCGTAGTTCTAAATTAGATAAAAGCATATAACTACAGAAGTCATCAGCCTAAAAATGAACAACTCAGCAATCGCTGTAGCTGTTATTACAGAAATATCTACTGGACCTCTTTAAGTAAGAAGCATAACCGTGTGAAAACTCCATCCGTATGTAAAAAGCATTAAGTTATGCATTTGCAGATCAAACCTTTTCTTTTACATATCAAATATTTTAGCATTTATATATATTAATATACATTTGGATTAAAATGAAAATGCATTTTCTCCTTATATGTTCGATGGTATTTGTAATAAAATGGAATCTATGTGCGTAGGTGATGTGTAAGTAGGAATTCAAGGACCCGATGTCTACCCATTTGCAACCATTTAGTAATCCGCATTCGATTTCCCCATTAGATGCGCTCTATGATATCACTACTCAACTGTTAATGAATGCGAAACACTATTTATAAACGAACATTTATGAAATCTCTAGAATTAGAGTTGCAGATTTCCATTGGCATGAATACGACATCTTGTCGGATTCTAAGGACATAGATAAGCTCATAAGGATAAGATCACACATTTAAGATGCAGCACTCTATGTTGTTCAAGGTGATTAATTGATCAGCCACGCTGGTGTCCTTATTTATCCAAAATCCATATCTTCATCGTTGAATGAATTAGATATCGAGGTATGTCTAAAGGTTTCTTTTTTTAAAAAACCTTCATACAATACCATAAAAGACGAAATAGCGAAAGATTATAAACACCAGAAATATTTTAAGGAAGTCTGCCGTATTAGTAGACAGGGATTTTATATTTTACCTTCTCCTACAAAAAACCAAACGAAGGAAATAATCAGAGTATAAATTATTGATAATCTATAAACCAACACTTTCTTCTCTCTTTCAAAAGGCACTTGCCATGAAATAGTTAGAAAATCAGCTTAAATTGGTGTTCATCAGGAGTAGCAATCAATTATGGCCTGAAAATTTAATCTATATGAAATTGGATTTGTAGAGGAGTTATTTGGGTACTAAAAGAAAAAAATTTAAAAAAAATTAGATAATAATTTAGTTAATGGCCTAAAATGGGACTGTATATTTCTCTAATTTTACCAACTTCAGTATTTCATGTTGTGCTAATTTTGACGTATTTTCTTTTAATTAACACAAAATTAGACTATTCGACCTTTAAATTTCTCTCCTTGTATGAAAGTAATTTTCAGACATATGAAATGTGATGTATATAGACAAACATTCAGAGGATAATATTCAAATTATTTTTGAATTATTACATTACCAAGAATTTTTACTTATGTGTATTTGCATGAATGTAAAAGTCCACAATATTTAGATTTTTATTTTTGCATATTCGCTAAACTGCTGACGTTGAAAAAGCTACTTCTTTTATTTCAAATTTTTTAGAATGTGGTTCTCCTTATAACCGGTTGCGTAGATTCAATGTATTCAAGTATTTTTTCACTAATCTTTTAATTGTCATAGTACAGTAATCACTTGTAGCACATAAGTACTTATTAGTACAAATCAGACGAACCTTATTGTATTAAATACAAACTTCGGAAACTTTGAAGATTAGCTTTTAGTGGGCATGCTTAATTATTTATTCTGTTATCATTGGTCAAATTTTATCCGATGGTTTAATTTCACTCTTCTAATAATGAAATCATGATGGCTAAATTCTCAACTTTATTTAAATCTTTCCTAAAATATTAAAAAATATCCTATTTGAATCCTAAAACAAATCTGTATGTTCTTTAACGAATCTATTTAGCAATTTCTGCTTTCTTCTCTCAGGCGGGCTCAACTGTTTCTTTCTCTTTTTCTGCGATAGCAAAAATTCGCCTACCACATAGAACTAACGTAGCAGAAACGGAAGATGCAAATCCATGACTCTGTAACGCTTCTTCGAAAGTTACTTTCACTAACTGCCTGTTAGTAGTTTTTATATTTTGAAAAAAAGCTAAAATTTCACAAAAAGATTGAAGGCTTGTTAACCTGAATGGTGAATTTAGAGAATTATTATTTTCAAAATTGTATACAATATGTGCAGATGACGAAACATTATTCCCCCTATTGGCTCTGATATCGATTTCCCATTTGAAATTAGATTTATTCTCGTGGGTGTTTTGTGAAAGATAATGTACTTATAATCCACGGATAGGACACAAAATACTTCACACTTTTCTTAAAAACAAAAGTGAAACAATTCCGATAAGATACTAGATGAAGTGGATATGGTGGAAGAAGCGATTGGAATTAGGAAAATATGCGAATTAATTTTTTTAGATTTTGCCCATTATTATTTTGTTTCGGGTGCTCTTTGGGTACTTTTTGTCATGTGCATTTGAAAGACAAATTAATTTGAGTTTCGTCTATCTCTCTATCTAGACATAGCAAAGTGTAAAAATTCGCCTTGATTCCAGGAAAGAGGAGATACTAAAGAAGAATATGAACCTAAGAATATAGAAGAAAATGAAAGATGCGTAATTCATGGATCTTCTATTTTCTATGGTAGCTGAATGGTGTTTCATTTGTCTATGTAAGAAGGTAAATTTGAACGAAATTATCATTCAATGTCCGTAATATCATGCTCAAATCTATAACCAATATTGTTCCCTTAAAGGAGCTTCTGTAATTCCAAAAAATGAGTTGAAAGCCTATTAAATAAATGATAGTTTTGGCAGTTAAAATAACCACACAATACAATCTAATAACTGTTTGATCACTTCAAATGGTTTACCAAACTAGAAATAATGACCATTAGTAGGTAAAATGAGAGTAGATATTAACAGAAAAATTGCTTTGCTTAGTGCAAATAGTAGCCTCTTCAATTAATAATTTGTCTTGTGGTTTATTGGCTAACTCGGAACCCATGAAACTGTGTTGTGCCTACTTTTTGGAAAAGAATGTTTCTGCAAACCCATCACTCCACAACACATCGTGGAATTGAGTTTTTTTGCAAAAAAGATTTTGGCACGTACAAGCATTCTTTGTGCAGCATCAAATGATTTCCCATCTGAAACTTTCTTCTGATAAATTAATGTTGGAATGAACATTTCGAACATTTAGTTGAAGTAGATTTGAGAGATTTTGAAAAAGTCAATTAAACATTCTAAAGCGCTGAAAATGGTTACAGAAAAATAAGATTATGGTTTGCTTGGTCAGAGCTGGCTTACACTGAGCGGAACGTCCAATCGACTGGAAGTGCTGAAGAGATGACGAGCTGTAAAGTTTGTGGATGGAATGTTACACAACTGGGAATAGATTTGGAAGGATTGGGCAATGTTCCAACACGAATTCATATTTCAAAAATGCCGGCCAAAATATTATTTTTCCTACAATTTAATTTTTTTTATATTTTTGAGATGAATATATATATGGGGGGGGGGGGGGGGGGAGAGGCAAATGATCTTAGTGTCAAGCGGTAATAAAACCGTTTGAATGAGCATTGAAGAATTTTAAATTCGCGTGCTGAGCGTTCACTCGGACATTATAAAACACATTAATGAATTTATAAAATAAATCCTTTATGAAATTAAAAGCTTATTTTACAGAAAAGTTGAGACCTATGCTGTGGGAAATTCATGCAAACTACTTAAAGTCTCGCAAATTTATGCGGGTTTTAAGCCTTCTAAGAGGTAATTGGTAGATGATGAAAGACAGTGCGTGTCATAATTCAAGAACCGGCTAATGAGCGCGAGAGATATCGGATGAGAATTCCATCGGAAATTAAGGAGATGAAAATGGGATTCTTAAATTCTTCTACCTTGCATTTCGCTAATAGCTATTCGAACGCAAAATTGTTTTTTTTTCGTTATTCGTTTTTCAAAAAAATTATATAATGCGATAAATGTTCAACTAAATCATCAAATCTAAAATATAAGACGTCGTTCCTTGTGAACCTTTGAAAGAGCGTAATTTTAACTTAAACACGTTATATCAAAAGATACCAAATAATTATTCGTGCGTAAGGCAACTTCAACAATGTGGTCTTTCAAGCAAAATAAGCAAACAATTGAGCAACATAATGAATTGCAATCTTCTTCTGTTTGTAAATCTGTAAACATTTGCATATTATGAAATTAAAAGTTGCAAAATGTGAGTAGGAGTTTAGCTTCCCATCAACTAAATGTATCTACCTGTTCGGGCTTTGTCAGGAAGGACATAAAGGAACTACGTGATTTCGAGCATATGACTGAAAATCGAAGTTACTTGTAATTCCATTTGAAATGAATATGTGTTGCTATTCGATAAAGTGGAACTACGTAGCAAAATGGATGATATATATTTGGGCTATTAAATCTACGGTAGATAAATAAACAGCGCACGAGCGCGCGGCTAAAAAATGCGTTCAGAAATGTGTCAGGGGGATAAGGGAATAGATAATTTGACGGGTGAAAAGCGAACTGCAAAATTGCAGTAAACGTGAAAAGATCACAAGGTCTGATTTTTATTGCATAGGCTTTGGTACATTTCCCAAATCGTATCAATAAAATCAAGTCCAATTATTTCACATATTATTGCCTAATTTTAATATCAGGAAGACAATAGTAAAGTGTTGACTTTAAATAATCGTTTTGACATTAATTACAGAACAATAAGTGAAAAAGTATTTAGTAGATAAAGCATGAATTAACCTTTTGAATTAGTTAAAAGAGAATGTTCTAGCTGCTTCATTAGAAAATCCACATTTTTTCTAATTCGCATTAAATATTGAATGAATAACAAACTCCTTGAAAACATTAAAACAATAAAATGCTCTTATTTGCGATAGCAAGGCCACTAATTAATATCTTTTCACATACTGTATTTAAAGTTATCGGATTTAATAAGCTTGAATACAGCCAGTTAGAAATAAGCATTTAAAAATCGAATGATACGAAATAGATTGCCAACATATGAGACAAATGTCACTATTTCTTAACTATTAGCGTTATATCGTTTTTCCGAAGTGTCAAGCTCTACTGTGTTTATATTTTTAAATATCCGTTACAGTTTAGAGAGCTGACTATACGTCTGTATATAATTATTTATTTTGATTTATCCAGGAGATATTTAGTCTGATATTTGCTAAACCGAATACCTCTACATACGCATTCTTCTTCCCGTATTACTGACTTTCTCATCATTCGAAAATGAAATTCATAAGAATTGGGCAAGATAATAGTCCTCTTCCAATGGCATAACCAACTGAATTGGCGTGACAACACCCACAGACTAAACGGGACAGGACAATGAGCCCTGAATATAGCAAACATAATTGTATCCATAAATTTGGAAACAAATAATTATGCTCAGAAAGCTGAAATTACACGGTGAATTTAACGCTTTTCAAGAAATATGGACAACTTCATGGTGCTAATTTTCAGTTAAGTAGAACTTGTGATTTACGGATTTTATTACTCACTCATCCTTTGATCCTTCCTCATAATTCACTGGACTTTCTCACATTCCTTTTTCCGTTGCTTTCAATTGAGTAAAAATTCTTCATTCTATGCCAAGAGCAATAATCAATGAAGGTAATTAGTAAATCTTTGCTTATGATGGTTAAGAGCGAGGGTGATAGCACGACATTATAGCTAGCTCAAGAAAATATTGTTTAATTTAACAGAAATATTCAACACAAACTTCAATTGATTTTAAATGGTGTTTTATAGAAAAAATACATTTATTTAACAAGCCTAAAATTCTGAGAAAAAGTCTTAAATGGGGATGCAGAAAGTACAGTAGGAAACATGGCATCATTATAATTTGTTATTCAAAACACTTTTTTGCATTACAACTAATCTCTTTTTACAATGCCGTACAAATTAAACTTTTACTTTAACTAATTTTTAAATTTCTTTTAATTAATTGCTTTTTTCTTAAAGACAAGACTTTTTGTATGCAAAAAAGTCTTAATCATCATACCTTCATTATCTACTTAGAAGATCTAGTCACTTAAAAGAAAATTCTTTCCATTCTTGGCTTAATTTAGTAAGATACTCTAAAGAAATACGCAGAAAACTCTGAAATGATTGCTTTATTTCCCACACTACCAAAATTATTGTATTAACGAGTTGTATTTTATTTTAAATTCTTTCTTCGAAAAAATATTCTTCAAAATTCATTTTTACTTATTGTTGAAAAAAATGCATTGGTGGGTGCTTACTAATTGGATTTTACAACTTTTTCTTGCAAAAAATGAAGAAGACTTCAACTTTCGAGGGTACAATTTCATCGCATCCGCTGCCTCATGTTTAAGAATTTGACTTTATCTTGAAATAATCTCTTCTAATAAAATATTTTATTTGATACTCTTCATTTATAAAGAGATGAAATTTATATTTACTATTCAAACATTCATCTCATTAAAAGGGTAATAATAGATCCATAAAACTCTATACTCTTACTATTGTTTGAATCGTAGGGTGGACTGTGAATGTGTTCTTCAAAGTTTGGATTTCTTTCGGTATCTGTGATAATGAAGGCATTTGATTGCACATTTTTGCCGTCGAACGTTCCTTCCGCCCTTCCGAGGCAGTTTAAAACCTCGAATCGTCTCACCAATCGTCCTCTTTCACCTCCGCTGCTATTCCTCCCATGCATCCCGTTGTTGTTCCTACTTGCTCTAGGTTGCCGGCATCTCAAAAGCACAATCGCGGCAATCAGAACAAATGAGATGATAAGTGCAATCACAATCATTGCCGTGATTATAATCAGGTCTCTATCGCCTATCATACCGAATCCACCTCCTGCTATGGGGTTTCCAGTATGTCGACCAGTACCTTTGTTCGGATTGTTTAGAGAATTGCTTCTATCACCTCGGTGATTCTGTATGACGTCGATTTTAAGTATTGTTGTATTGCTTCGAGGTGTTGTTCCCTTATCGGATGCCTTGAGAGCCAAGATGAATGATTGTGGAGAAGATCCATTCTGAGTTGGCATATTTATTTGTGTCGTTTCATTGTGATCGGCAATTGGAGGCTTAGGGTTATTTAAAAGTTGCTTTGCGAGATAGAGCGTGCCAGATGCACTATCCAAAGCAAAAAAATCGTGCTCATTACCCTTGATTATGGTGTACTCGATTTCCCCATTTAATCCACTGTCAGCATCAATAGCTTTGAGGTGGGCAATTTCTTGTCCAACTGTAGCATGGCTAGACATATTAACTCGTACAATTATGCTATTGGAAGACTGAGGAAAGATCCATACTGGCGAGTGATCATTAACGTCTTGAACGCGAATCACTACATTTGCAAATGCTGATAGAGAAGGATGACCAAAGTCTGAAGCCACCACAGTGAAGCTGAGGATTGGGGTTTTCTCTCTATCAATGGGCAAGTTTCGGGTATAAATTTCTCCATTAGAAGTGATGGCAAAAAGGCTGCTAACTCGATCTCCATCATTGCTGCCAACGCCTGGATGTTTTGACTGCTGCGTCTCTTCAGACTCGCTGATGCTGTATTGAATACGCGAGTTCTTAGTATCAGCGTCATTGTCGGTGGCATGCACAGAACCAATCTAAAATTCGAGAGCAAAATAAATAGAAGAAAGAAATATTTTGATATTTCAGCTGAGTGAATATATTAGGTAATGTACTTCAATTTTTATCCTAAATAAAAAAGTTACTGCTTGCATTAGTGTGACTGCTTGATAGGAAGTTATGCAAATTAAGAAAGCGAAGGAATCGGGGTAGTACCGTCCTGAAGGGTTTTGAAATGGTTTAACTGACTATGTTTTGGTGGTGGAAATATACCTGCTCTATTTATGCCATTTTCGTGGGCTGATTGAAATGGACCAACTCTGCTTTGCTTAGCAGCGAATAGCAATGCCTATTCGCGCTTTCATTTCTTAAATCGCGTTTTTAATAATAAAAAAAGTGGTTTATTTGTTTTAATCTTAAATGAAAACCTCTAATGAATTCCCACCAAGTCAGATCAAAATTCAAACTCGTGGATGAAAAATAAATTCCTGCTTTCTAAATATTAATTCAGATTCAAAATTTGTGGATTTTGAAAGTTGACGCTAATATCTTTTAAACTTTACCAACTTTCAGTCTAGCAGTTATGCGGTGTGAGCTGTGAATGTAACTTGAATCACATTTTTGAGTGAGAGTGGCAAGGTCACAATACTTTTAGCAGGTACTGCCTGGTTTATTTGGGAGGGTTGACAAGTTCAAATAGTAAAGGATTAACCCTCTCCCCCCTTCTCTCATCCAGCGTCATAAAATCCGCCATCATTTGAATTCTGTAGGTAAAAGAGCTATTAAATAAAATTAAATATTACAATCACTTCAGCACTTAGTCATCGTCTGACATTAAAATAAGTTGAGAAGATACAAGAGAACTCAGTCTTGACGCTTTACCCCATTTTCAGCAAAGCAGGTGAATTTCAAGTGTGAAATAGTACTGGGCCAGTGTGGACAATGTGATAGTTCAAATGTTTTCGAAAATTTGACAAATATTCTAATAATTAGTTTTAGTTTAGTGTAATTATCATTTCTCTTTCAATTGTAATTGGGTTTCAAGATGCAATCTTTATTATTTCTCATTTGAATATTAAAACAAATAAATTAAGAAAATATTGACAGAATAATAAGGAATTTTGCTCTATACATTTGAAAATTTTAAAATTCATTGCTATTTTAGTATTGCAATTAGTTAGTTATTCAAGAGAGGGTGGAGTAGAGGGTTTCACAGTTCTGAACGAATTAAGTAGGATGCATAATTTGGCAACTGTTCAAAATAGCACTTTAAAACGAAATATGATTTCCCTTACTCGGGCATCGTAAATTTTCCCACATTTATTAAAATATTTTATTAATTATCTCAAATTACAACAAAGAAGATAAGAGAATGGAATAATTTTTTGGCAATAAGGCATGAAAAAATTTGGCAAGATTTAAAACCCTTTCGGATCTCAAGAGCAATGCAGACATGGCGCCAACAACTGATCGGAGCAGAGCAGGGAACATTTTGATTTATTTCCTACTCAAGCCACTTTCAGTTCGAGAGTCGTAAACTTTTAAACGTCTCTGTGCCGCTAACTCTACCACTGAAACTTCCCAAAGGCCACTTTTAACTCTCCCTCACTCACCCGCTCCTTCAGCGCTCACTCACTCTGCTGCTACTGCAACTACTACTGCCACTGAGAGCCAAGATTTATGCGTTCAAAGATTAATATTCCAGATTTCACTCTGATGCAAAATTGTAATTCACGCGAATATATAAAAGGAGTCTACCACCACATAGAGTTTTCCACAACGGCTATTTGGGTTTTTTATTATTTATTTTGTGTGAACAAAGCTTTTTGGGCAGATATATAATTCACGCTTCATAGGTAATAAAGTAAATCACTATCAAGTATGTGGGAAATTGATCTCATTTACCGTAATACGAAAGAAGAAACAGCCGCTATGTTCATAATGATGCGCCATTCATGCGTGATAATGGAAACGGAATAAATTGCTAACCATTGGCATTGAAAAAAATCACGATTGTCTTTTTAAAGATAAGATCAATCAAACGAATTCTCTCAGAAATCCCTCCCTCCTCCACTTGAATGCGGCAACTGGAAACAAAGAGAAATTTCGGTTTCAAAAATGGAAGGGATGCAATTTTCAGCTCCTTTCTCATTGTTAAATATTATATTAGAAGTTTTACACTGCTCAAAAAGAATGTGAGAAAAGTGAGAGAAATTTTTAACAAAGCTAAATGAATTATGACTAGGGTAAATTTAGCAGAGCAGGCATTATTGAAGGCCTAATAACACCATAAAACTATTTTTTGTCATTAAGAAGTAAAGCGTTATTTCAGCAAAGCAAAATGGATTCCCACGTGACTCACAAAATCTCAAGCCTTTGACTCTGCCGTAGTAAATCTATCGTCATTTTGAACAATAAAATAGGTCGCTTAAAGAGGCAAAATCTAGCCACTTTAATGTTCCAATTGTCCTGCCTAAAATGTTTCAAAATAACCTAATACTTGAGAGGATTAAAAAGGCGTCTCATAATTCGAAACAATAAACTGAATTTTTGAATAGCATCCAAGGTGCTTAATGCTACAATGATTTCTGTTATCTACATAATATCAGACATTTTGCTACAATTTCCCCCATATTGATTTTATGTTTCCTTAACATTACACTTCCATTGAGCCAGTGTTACTTAAAAAATAGTCGATGAAACTGGTTCAGTGGATGTTAACCTCAATTTCAGACAAGTTCAAAGTTAATAAGAAGGGGCGGTGGTGGAGGCTAATGTTGATCTGAGTAGGTAATTAAGTTTATAAATAGGACTTTTACAGTAATAGGCAGACAGTGACTAATATGTCATTTTAGACTAGTAAATTCATTTGCTATTAGAAAATGTTGCCTTGAAGATGGACAATTTGATAAAGCTTACTGAATATTTTTAGCCGTTAATTTCAAAAAAATAGTTACTTTAGATCTAGCTTGTGAAGATTTAAGGGTTAAGAAAATTCTTATACGCTTAATTATAACATAACTAAGCAATTTGACTTCATATGCTTGTATTTGGCATTTTTAAAAGGACAATTAAACCGTCAAACTACCCCTTTTGCACCCCATATTTACTACTTTATGTAATAGAAACAATTTTCCACTCCGATTCGAAAGGTTTAGCTGAGCATATATATATATATATATATGTGTGTGTGTGTGTGTATGTGTGTGTGTGTGTGTGCGTGTGTGCGTGCGTGGGCGCATAATGAATTGGAATACATTCAACTTTTCAATATGAATTTTAAATGAGGACCCAAACTGAGAGTTCAAGTTGGCTTTTACAAACGCGTCCTACAAAATCCTCCTCTTATCTGCGGCTCAATCTTTCCGCTTCTGCCTCACCATTTTTGCAACGAGAAAACATCATTTCCTTTTATAATGGTTTCCGAATTGAATTTTAAATCTAATTGGACTTTTAATTCTAAAACTCATATAAATGCAAATATATTAACTTTAGTGCTATGAATTAAACAAATCTAGTTTAATTTTTGGAGGGAATTAATTTATTATTTTTGAAACATTGGCTTAATATAAAATTGACCAGAAAATTTTGAATCCCCTCCAATTGGAACTGAATTGAACTCAAGTTTCAGGATCGAATTTTAAACAAATAAAAATTGAAGCTATCCTCATAAGAAAGTAATTTTTTTAATTAGGAAATATCTTTCTATCTTTCTGAATTCCGTAGTGTAGACCGTTCAAAATGAAAGGTTTAAATGAATTGATCTCAAAAGACCTTCCAATGTTCTAATTTCCACTCATCTATTTTGCCTTTGACCTCCAATGTTTCATTACTTCTTCACATGTTTTTGTGGTATCAATCTGCATTAAATTGTTGCTTTCAAATCTGAAAAATGCTGACCGATTATTTACATTAGTTAAATTTAGTACAAAATATTCATAAAGGGGCATTTTATGATGGAGAGTGATTGCTTTTTTATTTGGTGAATCTCTTACATCTTACAGAACTTAAACCCCGTATAAAATTGATTTTAAATAACTTTCAAGTTTCCTATTGTCAGAAATATTTCAGCTGAGAGAGCTATTATATTAGTCCTATTTTAAGTAATAGTTTAACAAATATTTAAAGATTCATTGCAAATCAATTAAAAAATGTATGAATCACGGCACAAACCTACAGAAATGGATGGCATAGTGGAACGTCAAATTGTGCCGATATATGTATCTGTGGAGTACACAATGCTAGTACAATAAAACCTCTCCCCTGAACGTACTGGAGGTTGTGTTCATGAAGAGGGCTTCTCAACTAGTCAGCTATTAATGTTAAATATATTCAATTGCTAATCATATTCGATTATGGTCATAAGATAGAATAAAAGATATACATGCTGTATACCTGCTTCTTCTATAGCTTAACTCATTTCTGAAGCCTATCTACATCAGGATATTTTCCCATAGTGATTACTTAGAATAGGTCAAGGCTCATTCTTGTAGCTATCAGATAGGTTACTTTGACTTACAAATCAAGATATTTTAGAAATAGGCATTAATTCGCAAAGCTAGATGGTCATGATTTTGAATGATTGTTTATTATGATGAAAACACTTATTAAGAGCATTGACTGCATCAACATCTTTTTTATCAATTTTATTTGTTCATGAGTGACTAATGCTATTGACAAA